CTATAACTTAAGAACAAGCATGTTCCCAATAACAACCAAGCTTAAGAACAAGCATGTTCCCAATAACAACCAAGCTTAAGAACAAGCATGTTCCCAATAACAACCAAGCTTAAGAACAAGCATGTTCCCAATAACAACCAAGCTTAAGAACAAGCATGTTCCCAATAACAACCAAGCTTAAGAACAAGCATGTTCCCAATAACAACCAAGCTTAAGAACAAGCATGTTCCCAATAACAACCAAGCTTAAGAACAAGCATGTTCCCAATAACAACCAAGCTTAAGAACAAGCATGTTCCCAATAACGACCAGGTAGCTTAAGAACAAGCATATTCCCAATGCGACTAGACAGCTTAAAAACAAGCATGTTCCCAATGCAACTACAGCTTTTAGAACAAGCATTTTCCAATAACAACCAGATAACTCTGGGACAAACATGTTCCCGACAATACAACTATAAATTAAGAACAAGCATGTTCCCAATAACAACCAAGCTTAAGAACAAGCATGTTTCCAATATGACTAGACAGAACAAGCGTGTCTGATATAGGAACAGAATCAACGCTGAACTGACGGCTGCATCCGAAACTGGAAAATGCTGCCTTCGGAGGACACATTTCAAGGTAGGAAGGCATCGAGACATGTCGAATCCAAAATTAGCTTCAAGTCCTGCCTCATGAGATACCTCATCTGGTCGATATTTATAGGCAGAATAGATGTATCCTTTGGTGCCTTGATACCCACAATCCTGTGTGTTCTATCCTGTGATGGTTGATGAAATAAATCATTGAATATTTGCTTAGTTATCACCAAGCTCGTTTTATTTGTGGTAGATCATTGAACCATTAAGCTGCCTCAGAAGCATGTCTGATATCAGTTTCATGAGTTACCTTCATGAACAAACGCTGCCTGCGAAGTCATTAGCTGATTTTCTGAGGTTTCCGGATGCAGACGATTTCAACTGAACAATGACCGTTTACCAATTTCTCTTGGAGCTGCGCCGCAGCAGAAATGATTCCGTTTGCACCATGGTCGTTATTTCCTGCTGCTTAAATCTGTGCTGTAGTGCTATAAAAAATTAGTCTCGCGTAGCCAGACATTCAGACTGACGGCTGAAGGTCTGTAATTCATGGCAGCTTTCTTTGTCAAACAACCAATCACAGTTCGTTTCATTCAGCAGCACGTTTCG